GATTGCGGCTCCGAATCAGGAACAGAGGAGCCCGCCGATTGCGGCTCCAAATCAGGAACAGAGGAGTCTTAGGAGACCGGCCATCGGGGACGGGACCGAGTCTTTGGTGAACGGCCACAGGGCTGAAGGCACGGCAGACGTTCTGGAGACCGGCCGCAGGGCCGGAGGCGAAGCAGAGTCTCTGGGGAACGTCCCCTGGGCCGGAGGCATGGCAGAGGTTCTGGAGGCCGGCCGCGGGACCGAAAACAAAGCAGAGTCTTAGGAGGCTGGCCGCGGGGCCGGAGACGTAGCAGAGTGTTTGGTGACCGGCCGCGGGGCCGGGGGCATGGCAGATGTTCAGGAGATCGGCCGTGGGTCAGGCAACGTAGGAGGGTTATAGGAGGATGACATCTTCGTCGCTGCTGAATCTTCGGAGGAGAACGACGTCTCCGCCGCTGCAGGATCTTCGGAGGAGGACGACGTCTCCGCCGCTGCAGGAGTTTAGGAGGAGGACGACGCCCCAATTTCAAAAGGTAGCGCCAAGGGGAACGCCGTCCCCTCTTCAGCGGCTCAGCAACCGTCAGAGAGAGGACCGTGGACTGCGGCTCTGGAACAGGGTCCAAGGAGGCCGTCGACTGCGGCTCAGGAACTGGAGCAGCAGGGACCGCCGACTGCGGTTCCGGAACAAACTCTGAGGGGGCCGCCGACTGCGAATCAGGAACAGGCTCTGAGGGGGCCGCCCACTGCGGCTCAGGAACAGGCTCTGAGGGGGCCGTCGACTCCGGCTCAGGTACAGTCTCAGAGGTAACCGCCGACTGCGGCTTAGGAGCAGGAACAGATGAGACCGCTGACTGCGGCTCCTGAACAGGAACAGAGGAGACCGCCGACCGCGGCTCCGGATCAGGAACAGAGACCACCGACTGTGGCCCTGGATCAGGAACAGAGGGGCCCGCCGATTAAGGCTCCAAATCAGGAACAGAGGAGCCCGCCGATTAAGGCTCCGAATCAGGAACAGAGGAGCCCGCCGATTGCGGCTCCGAATCAGGAACAGGGGAGCCCGCCGATTGCGGCTCCGAATCTGGAACAGAGGAGCCCGCCGATTGCGGCTCCGAATCAGGAACAGAGGAGCCCGCTGACTGCGGCTCCGAATTACGAACAGAGGAGCCCGCTGACTGCGGCTCCGAATCAGGAACAGAGGAGCCCACTGACTGCGGCTCCGAATCCAGCATAGAGGAAACCACCAACAGCGGGACAGGTTCAGTCACCGAGGTGGCTTGAAGCGCCCGCAGAGGGCTCTTGGCGATTTGGAGCGCCCGCTGAGGGGCTCATTGAGGAGTATTACCACTAACCCCGATTTCTGAGGCCTCTTTAAAAATCTGCTCTGGGGTCTCTGGACGGCACAGAGCAAGCTCAGGGGTCTCTGGACGGCACAGAGCAGGCTCAGGGGTCCCTGGACGGCACAGAGCAGGCTCAGGGGTCTCTAGACGGCTCAAAGCTGACTCAGGGGTCTCTAGATGGCTCAAAGCAGACTCAAGGGTCTCTAGACGGCTCAAAGCTGACTCTAGACGGCTCAGGGCTGGCTCAGGGGTCTCTAGACGGCTCAGAACTGGCCCAGGGGTCTCTAGACGGCTCAGAACTGGCTCAGGGGTCTCTAGACGGCTCAGAGCTGGTTCACTGCGACGCCGTCTCTTACGCCGGGGGGTCTTAGAAGGTGGGCTAACGGGTTCTGGTTTTAGGCTACTTAGTCTATTACATGGTTCAGAAGCCTGAGATTCAGGAATGTTGACGGGTTCTGAGGCTAGGGAAACAGGCGTGGAGACAGGCTTAGAAGCTAAGGATTCTGGAATGCTAATGGGTTCAGATGCTAGGATAACTGGTTGGCAGAGAGATGAATGAGGTGGCATGAAGGGGAAGAGATCATTCCTATCCCCATAAAAAAAGTACCAGAGGTCTGACTCCTGGATGTAGGGAGCTCTGACTGTCTGGGGTTCGGAGGCTAGAGGCGCAGAAGCGCTAGCTGGAGATACAGAATTACTTCCGGGTTCTGACGCTAATGATTCTGGAATGCTTACGGGCTCAAAAGTTAGAGATCCAGAAATGATGACTGGTTCTGAAGCTAGGGGAACTGAAACACTACCGGGCTCTGAAACAAAGGGAACACATGTGACAACTGAAACTGGAGAAACTGGATGACTGACGGACTCTGAAGCTAAGGGAAACGGTATGCTAACTGGCTCTGAGGCTAATGAAACCGGATCACTTCCGGGTCCTGAAGCTAGGGAAACTGGATGGCTGATGAGTGCTGGAGCTGGGGAAAACCGAACGCTGATGGGACCAGAAGCTAGGGAAACAGATAAGCTATCAGGCTCAGAACCAGGATCTGACTGGCGGGGAGCTGATGGACTGATAACTGCTGCTGGCTGAACTAACAGGAGGGTGGAGGCGTCAGGCTGACTCACCGGAGAAGGAGCAGAGGCGTCAGGCTGAACCGCCGGAGAGGATGTTACCCTCTTGCCCCGGAGGTGATTCCTACACCTGGAGGAGGCAGAAGGCAGGGACGACCCAGCAGCTGCAGAAGGTGGAGGTAAGAATTCGGAGATGGACGGAAGCAGTGTGAGGTCTTGAAGTGGTGGTTTAGGTGGAGATTTTTCTTTAAATATTTGTGAGTAAGTGTCCTGAATGTTCCAATAAATGAGTGCTATATGAGCGGTGAATGTGAGATAAGTCTGGACTATCGGAAGATCATTGATTAAACTGAGAAGTTTCTCTGCGATTCCTATCCGCACCCAGGGTTGAGTGATGGAGGACAGTTCCCTTATGGACTGGATGAAGTTGTTGAGGAGTTCCGCTAGTCTGTTGGCCAGAGTGTTCTGTCATGATGGGTTTCTGGATGCTAGCCCATATGCAGAACACAACTCAGAGACAGGGAAAAAGTTTAATTAAAGTAAAGGTTTAATTAAAGAAGAGGTGCAAAAACAGGTCGGGGGGGGGGGTAATCAGGTCCAGGGCTGGTCACGGCTGGGTTACTGTCCTGGAGTTTGAGCAGAGCAGCAGAGGGGGAGAAAACCAGGAGGGTTCAGAGGCTGACGGCAGGCTGAGGGCTTGGTGGAGGCTTAGCTTGGCTTGAGCTTGTAGATCTCCAGGTTAGAGTTTCCCTTCCAGATTCTTCTGGGAGCAGGCTGGCTGATCTTTGACAGGTTAGGTTCTCCAGGGTTCTTCTGAGGTCAGACAGACAGATTTCCACCAGAGAAACTCTTCAGGGGGTTTCTGGTTTCTGGCAGGTTCAACCTGGGAAACAGAGAAGACAAGATCAGGGTCAGGTTCAGGTCTCGTAGTGAGGAGACTAGACAGACTGGTTGGCTCAGGGTTTGCTGTACCGTGACTGACTAACACTCTTGCACCGGAGTGTGGTCCTCAGCCCACTTAGATGCTGGTCTCCTGATGAGCAGATGGGGAACAGCTGGTGAAGTCAGCTCCAGCTTCAGGAGATCCCATACGCCCTCTGGTGGAGAAAAGGTAGACAAAACCCCCAGATCCCAACAATAACAAAAAATCCCCAGGAAGGGATCCTCGGCGCCCTCTGGTGGGCAGGCCTCAGGATCCCAACATAAATAAGATAATAAATTAGTTAATAGTGTAAAATTAGTCTAAGAAAATCCATGTTAAAAAGCAGGTAAAATGAGTTTGGGTTTATAATAAATCAGAGTGAGACATCTCGTTTTTGTCAGAGCTGTAAGTTAAATACGTTAGTGCTCTTACTTTGAAAATATCTTTGACATTTTTTTTCTCTGGAAAATCCCATTTCAGCAAGTAAGCTACAGAAACTGTTCATGTTGAAGTTAAATGTTGTTCTACACGCTTCTGCCTTGGAAGATATTAGTCTTTGTGAGTATTGCTTTGCTCAGAAAGCACATGAATATATGTTACAATTATTTTGTGTAAAGAATATAAGAAATGTTTTAGATACATTTGTGTTAAAGTTAAGCTAAGTGTAGAATGTGCTGAGGATGTTCAGATACGGATATTAGTCAGTGATTAGTTTTTTCTTCTGTGTATTTCAGTTACAAAAAAAAAACAAATCAAAACCAGATTTTTGAATAAAGGTTCTCCAAAGAATGCAAGAAAAGAAAGCCTTGTGTGGAGAACTTTTTTCGTGTTGTTTACTGGCTGTCTAGCGTCACATGGTGAAGTGTTGTGAGGACAGCACAAAAACTATACGAGTCAGGCTTGTAAAAGGTCAGTCTAGGCAACTAGATATGAAGTTTTCTAGAAGATGCTTCTCCTCTCATCCTAGAGGCTTCTTCAGTTCTAACTAGTAGTGGGAGCACAGAGATTAATATACTGTAGGTAGAGCTGCTTTTTCAAGCTTGACCAAGACCTGGATGACTGAGAATCTTCCCAGATCTGAGAAAAGCAAAAATATTATCCAGAAGTTGGTTAACTTCACACATTAGATTTCTTGTTTCACTCTGTAATATAGTAAATGAACTACCTGTTTCTCCAAGAACTTAATACATGCCCAGCTCTCTGAATGAATGACTGTTATTATTATTATCCTTATTCTCTATTCTTCCCAAAACGTGTCCTTTTATTTAACCCATCTCTGATGGAGCAGTGGGCAGGAGTGCAGCACCCATAGAGTATTTCCAGGCTCAGGCTGCTGGTTGTTGAGACAATTGGAGAAACATCAGAGATCTCAGTGCAGAAATACTCGGTTCTAGTGACAGCTAAGAGACTAAGAAAAACCCCTTAAGCTCCGAGGCCTCTGGTAGAGGACCTGAGCTGGAGATGAAAGAAACCACCTACCCCACCCAGGAGTCTCCAAAAGCAACAGTAGGTCATGTTTGCAGCTCAATCTGTCCAGAGTTTGACCAGGTTACAGACATAAAAATGTATTTAAGCTCAATATTGTTTTTTAGGGCTTTGGCACACATGGCTTTAGTTTGGGCTTCAAGAGCTGCTGAAAAAGTTCATTTTTTTAATCATTTTCATCTCTGTCTCTTCAGACTGAATCACTGTTACCTCTCAGAGAGAAGCTGTGAAGGTCTGGCCTCAGTTCTCAGCTCCCAGTCCTCTAATCTGAGAGAGATGGATCTGAGTAGCAACTACCTGAAGGATTCTGGAGTGAAGCTGCTGTCTTCTGGACTGAAGAGTCCAAACTGCAAACTGGAAATTCTCAGGTCAGAACATCAGTCCAGGACACACTTGAATCCTGATATGAACTCAGTGAGCATTGCAGTGTTAATTAGTAAGTCTTTTAGAACTTACATCAAAACTTATTGAATTATATCACTAAACTCTGCTAGTGCAGTTTTAGATGAAGGGAAAGGTGCACTGAACCAGAACTTGATATTAAGATTTGGAACTTTTAATGTAGTTACTTGCATAGCTCTGCATTTAACATAATTCCTCAGCTAAAGCAATGTCAAGATGAATATAAACATTGTTGGTACTGGACAAAAATCTGCTGGGATCCAATAAACTACCTATAAGATCCAATCAGCCTAACACTATCCATCATATAAAATTTAATGTCAAACGGTAAACCACTCTGTTTGAGAGCTCATAAAAGACATCCAAAGATGTGTTTCTATTAAGTCAGATGTTTAGAGTTCACCTATAAGAAAACAACAAAGTTGTGACTTCATCATGGCTAAACACAAAATGTATACAGAACAACAGACTCCAACGACACATGACAATGATGGCTGTGTTGTTCTTTTGCACAAAAAAAACAATGACTTGGATAAAACTGGATCTAGAGACAGTGATGTCATGTCAAGCCTCTGACTGAAGAGACTTTGTTGTTCAACAATCCTCTGCAGAGGATGCTCACTGTTGTCCATATTCTTCTTCTTTGTGAAATCATCTCCAGAGGTTCCAGAGGAGTTCCTAGAACAGAGCCGACCTTCTTTATCAGCTTGTTAGGCTTTTTTAAGTCATTTGCTTTGATACTAGTTCCCATTTATTTCACATATGGACATGGCTCAGATTGGGTCTTATTTTAGGTGAACGGATCAGAACAGGGCCATTCGGACATGAAAAAGGATCAGATTTTTGTTACATTAGCCTGCTGTGTGTGAGTCAAGTCCAACACATCCAATGCTGGGATGTTTGAAGACTTTTCTCATCTATTTCTCCTTGCAGTTGATGCTGCTTGTGTTGTTCTGGTTCTGGATTGTGTTGCAGCTCTGCTCTTTGTCCAACACAGATTTCTCCTGGAGGAGACTAATAAACACACCTTGATCTGGACCTTCACACGTCATTAGAACATGTTCTGCTTCTGCTTGGTTTACCACTTTAACTTGACCATTTTTCTGGGACTTTAGCTTTCGGTCAAATTATTTTTCTACATTTATATTCATTATTTTAGTTTTAACCTGTCTCTCCAGTTGCTTCAACACGTCTTTTATTCTTTATTCAGATTGAATTGGTGCAGTATGTCAGAGATCAGCTGTGCTTCTCTGGGCTCAGCTCTGAAGTCCAACCCCTCCCATCTGACAGAACTGGACCTGGGCAACAATCTCAACCTGAAAGATGGTGGAGTGAAGCAGCTCTGTGGTTTTCTCCAGTCTCCCCTCTGCAAACTACAGACATTGGGGTCAGTCACCATGTTTTAGTTTAGTGCTGATGTTTCTGATGGTAAAGTTGTGTTGACTCTAAACTGCAGACATATGGCNAACACAGTGGTGCGTAGAGTAACAACCTCATCGGACCAGGTTGACAAGCCATCTTCTACCTCTTTGACGCTTTGTTTAACGTGGTCTAGGTCGGCACGAAGTAGCGTTGTGCCGTTAGCCACTTCCGCTCTCACCGCTTGTAGCTCTCCTTTAATAAAAGTGAACTCTTCAGCCAAAGCCTCTTTTATTTCGGATTTAATCACAACTGAGATATCGGTTTTTATGGCGGCAAGAATGTCAGACTTCAAGGAGAGAGCGTCCGCCTCGCAACGGGAAGGAGAAGGGGGTGCTGAGCTTCCGGCTTTAGCAGTAGTCTGCTCCGAGGCGGTGTCGGGCCTAACAGCCACAGAGCTAGAATGTTTGCCTTTCCTCAAATTTGTCGCCATTCTTCTGCTCTTCCAGGCAGGAATCACTTAGAGGACGAGTCCGGACAGACCTAATGCTCAGAACAGCAAGGACATTTAGTAGAGAACCATAAACTAAAGAGGTTAAAGCGGGAGCCCACGCGAGGCACGTCTTACTCCTCTTCCGCCATCCCCCCTTTTTTTTTTTTTTTTTTTTTCTCATGTTTAAGTTCAACTCCATGATATTAATAAAATAAGAAAACTGTGAAACTCCGCTCCGCTCATCTTTGTCACGTTGGTTAAATCTGCTGCTACCGGATAAAACCCTCAACAAAAAACAAGGCTTTTCTTTTTACCATATTGCGATTCCCCCTGGCATTAAGAGAAACGTGAAAGAGAAAACATTTGAACAAGAAAAGTAACTCAGTGGATGAAGGTAGTTATACATAAACACCGTGTATCAACACCTTATCAAGATCCAGAACTCAGTTTTCAACCTCGTATACAGTAGCAAGCCAGTGACCCTTCGAGAAGGAAAACAGACCTGTGATTATTCTTGCATTGAAGTAAACTCTAAGGGAATCTCCACCCTGTTGATGAAACCATGACCTCCTACGAAGTAGGCTAACTTTCCGTCCTTACGAGCCTTCTGGATGCATGGCCTCAGTTTCTGCCGGGATTCACGATCTTCTTTGCAAAGGTCTTCGGAGAAACGCAGACCATTTTTCTTTAGGAAGTCATTTCCCTTAGCCGCTTTCCATATATAATCACAATATCTCCTCACACTGAAGCGGATGATGATAGGACGAGGGCGAGAGCTGCCACCGAGCTTTCTTCCTACTTGATGAGCAATGTCAGTGAAGATCTGGAGACTTTCTTTTTCTTTCGGAAGAACCTCTTGGCACACCCGAAGAACTTTCTCCAACACGTCCTCCTTCTCGGTCTCAGCGACTCCGTGTAGTCTGAGATTCCAGCGACGGCTATAATGCTCCATCTCAGTAACACAAATCACGCAGGATGTTGTATCTTTTTCATTGCGCTCCACACGTTTTTCAACTAAATCAACTTTCTTTTTTATATCTTTAATTTCTTCTAGCATATTTCCCAGCTTTGCTTCTAAAGCGTCACTTCTCATGTTGATCAGGTTAGCAAGCATAGCAGTAGCATCATCAGGGTTTGGGAAGCTAGCTGTACGCAAAACATTTGGAAAAGGCTTCTTGGCAACAGGAGGATTACTTGGAGTACCCGGGAGCAGCGGAAAATCATCTTCGTCAGGCTCTGGTTGAAGGACGCCAAGAGCCGCGTCGACATAGTCATGGTCTTTTTCAGCAGCACCGGTGAAGGTTTTTTCCAATTTATTGTGGTCACTGGTTCTTTTTTGGGCTGTTTTAGGCATCTTCCTGAGAGTAAGATGAACTTACAAAGTAGAAAGGTTCCGAACTGAGAGCCTATACCCAGAGAAAATTGCAAAGCAGAAAAATAAGTACTGAGAGCACGGTATAAAATGTCTTATGCTACCGCCATCTTGGTCGGTCCCCCTTAAATAATAAACTAGGGAGAGCCTGGAAGGTGAAGGCAACTGTAGTTCTGGTGGTCATTGGAGAACTCGGGGTAGTAACCTCCACACTGGAGAAATGGCTCCAACAAATAATTTGAGAAATATCAGAGATTTCAGTCCAGAAATGCTCAGTTCTAGGGGCAGCTAAGAGACTAAGAAAAACCCCTTAAGCTCCCAGGCCTCTGGTAGGGGACCTGAGCTGGAGATGAAAGAAACCACCTACCCCACCCAGGAGTCTCCAAAAGCAACAGTAGCTCAGTCTGTCCAGAGTTTGACCAGGTTACAGACATAAAAAAGTGTTTAAGCCCAATGTTGTTTTTTTGAGGTTTTGGTATGCATGGCTTTAGTTTGGGTTTCAAGGGCTGCTTAAAAAGTTTCTTTTTTCATCATTTTCATCTCTGTCTCTTCAGACTGAATGAGTGTAACCTCTCAGAGAGAAGCTGTGAAGGTCTGGCCTCAGTTCTCAGCTCCCAGTCCTCTAATCTGAGAGAGATGGACCTGAGTAACAACAACCTGAAGGATTCTGGAGTGGAGCTGCTGTCTTCTGGACTGAAGAGTCCAAACTGCAAACTGGAAATTCTCAGGTCTGAACATCAGTCCAGGACACACTGGAACCATGACATGAACTTAGTGAGCATTGCAGTGTTATTTACTAAGACTTTTACAAGTTAGACTGAAACATATTGAA